ACAGACTCTTGCATAACGCATAATGCATAGTGCATAAAGGAATCGACCAATCGAAATTCTTCTTTTCCATGGAATGGAAGGAAAGGAAAGATTCTGATTAGTTGATTCGCTTATGCACTATGCGTTATGCGTTATGCAAGAGTCTGTGCTGCGGCCTTTAGAATTCTATTGTAGATCCGGGGTTACCGGCACCGGCATAAGTTAACGGTTACGGCCATTATAAATCAGGCTTTATCGTCAATCCGGACATTTGTGTTGTAAACGTGAACGTATGTTCTCGCAATGATGCGTTGCCGGCCGCATCGTTAAATATTGACATGCGCGCAACTAGCCGGCGCCATAGATGAACGCCACGTATTTTGTGATGTGTTAACCGTGTCGCCGCGTACCGGCGAGTGCGCAACGTACAAGGAGAAGGAGAATTTATCGTGCCACTTTGTTCCATCAGGAGATAGGATTATAGAAATTCCTTACGATTCGAAGTCTCGTCGACGATGTCTCGCGTTCACGCGGGTGCGCTAATCTGCGCTTTCGCGTTCTATCTGGGGGCGTACAGCGGTTGCACCGCGGCCAATCTGGACGGGGTCGTGGATCCGAACTTGACCATCAGGAGCGTCGAGCGGCACATCGACCTGCAGTCCCAGTTGACCAAAATCACCACTCGGGTGGTGATGGAAAACAAGCAAGGCAAGGAAGATCGCGTCCGGAACTTCCTCTTCTGCCTGGACGACGCTCAGAGTAGATTCATCAGTTACATAGCGGCACGTGTGGAGCCTGACAAACTGGAGCTGAAGGTGAAGGAGACCAAGGTGCCGGCGCATCGCAACCGTGTCTTCTACTCCGTTGATCTCGGCAACCACCTGACGGCTCGGCGCTCTCTCACCATTGAATTGGAAACGGTATTCGCGCATGAGCTGGTGCCGCATCCCAAGCAGATCACCCAACAGGAGAAGCAACTCGTCAGGTATACAGGCAATGTGTACGCCTGCTTACCTTATCCCGTCACCAAACAGACCACCTATGTGGCATTGCCCACGCGCAATCTCGAGAGCTACACCAAGATCAAGCCCGTCTCCCAGACTGGCTCGATGTTGGCTTATGGTCCATATGAGTCTCAACCACCATTCTCCTATGAGGAGATGACTGTACACTTTGAGAACAACAATAAGTTCCTCACGGTAACGTGGCTCGAGAGGATCATCGAGATCTCTCACTGGGGTAACATAGCTGTCGAGGAACATATTGCTCTCTTACATACTGGAGCATTGCTAAAAGGCTCCTTCTCACGTTACGAGTATGCCCGGGAGTCCAAATCTGGACAGGCAAGCATTCAAAGTTTTGATACTATCCTGCCAGCGGCTGCTTCCGACATTTATTACAGGGACGAGATCGGTAACATCTCCACGTCGCACACCCGCATCAAGAAGGATTCAGTAGAGCTGAATCTACGACCGAGATTCCCATTGTTCGGCGGCTGGAAGACTCATTATACAATTGGCTACAATGTACCTAGCTACGAGTACCTCTTCCATTCTGGGGACGAGTTCGCCCTGGAGATGAGACTGCTGGATCACATCTTCGACGACATGGTGGTGGACGGGATGGTCCTGAAGATCATTCTGCCGGAGGGTACACGGAACATAAAGCTAGAGCTGCCGTATCCTGTGACCCGCCTGCCAGATTCCCTGCATTATACGTATCTGGATGTCACTGGGCGTCCGGTGATATCTGTGACTAAAAAGAATCTGGTCGAGAATCATATTCAGAGTTTCAGGCTCAAGTATACGTTCCCGCGTCTGCTGATGCTGCAAGAACCGCTGATGATCGTGCTAGCGCTGTGGCTGATGTTCCTGGCGGTCATAGTATACGTGAGATGTGACTTCTCCATCGACAAGGACGAAGTGTCGGAGAGTAAGCTGAGGATCGCCGGTCAGTGCGAGAAAGTACTCGCTGCTCAGGACCGCAGGATTGCGACCTACTATAATCTGGAGGATCAGCTGTCGTACCTGAAGGTGTCTAAGGACACCAACAGTTTCCAGTCCGCGATAAAGGGTATCAATCAGGAATACAAGGCGGCGAACAACGCACTCAATGAGATCGCGCAGAAGATAAAGGGAGAGTCCACCGACGTATACGATCGTATCCAGGAGTTGCAAAAGTGCGATCGTTATCTGAAGGAGATCTACGGCCAACTGCAGGCATTGTACTTGGAGAAACTGATCCCGGGCAAGATCAGTCGGCAGCAATTCATTGATATGGAAACGACGATCTCTAGGAAGAAGGAGGACTGCATTGAGAAGATTAACACGATCATCAAATCGCTCCGGTAATCGTGTTTCATGAACGAACTTTAGGATTTCGAGAGCAACGATGGTGCATTTGCAATACAGTAATGCCTCGCATCTGTTAATATTCCATTCGCGAGTATGATTGAGGAAAAATTCCATACATTCACAAGCGCATCGAGTCAAGAGGAAACTCTTATTTACGTAGATTAAGATTTATATTAATTAAGATTTATAACAAATATATATATATATATATAGAAAAGGAAACGTAAAAACGAAATGCTTCGTTGTATCCTGTCTGTTATATCTTCAAAAAGCGTATCTAAATAAAAAAACTTGTAAAAAGTAGGCGACACTTATTATTATAAGTCTCTGTATGTGTGTGTGTGTGTGTGTAACAATATTTCTCATTAATAAGAAAGATAATAACGTTTATATGTCTAGAATTATTTGGATTCTTGAAAGCTTGAAAAAAATTTCTAACAGCTTGCAACATATCTAGTGGAATTACAGTTTATATGTATATAAGTAGCTTACTGAAAATTGTTCTCTGAATTTTTTTATGTAATTTTGCAGAATTTCAATGTAAATTTTTGGATTTAAAAAAATTTTTAAACATATTTTTCTAACATTTTAGAAATTTTCTTGACTTTTTAATACAAATTGTAACATTTTTCAGAAGTGCCAAGAAAGTCTATATCTTTTTCAGAATTCTTCATGTATGTGAATTCTCTGGAGTATTCTAAGATTTCTCATTCTATAATTTATAAAAAAAACTTATAAAACCTGAAGAAATTAAAAATATTTTTCGTAATCTTCATAAAGACATGAAAATTTTTTTTAAATATTTTGAGAACTTCTTTTTACCGAGTATCTCTTAAGATGAAATTCATTTTAAAATCGATCGAAATTACGCAAAAATTACCTCTATAGCAGATTGCAGCTTGATAATCCGCATACGATGTCTTGTCTGACGCAGACTTATCTTGAGTATGTGCTCCGTTCCGTGATGATGCCTCTTCGGCCTGGCGTTGCGATGTTTCTTCTTAAATATAAAAATGAATACATGTCAAGCCAATGGAGCTCAGAGAAAATTACAAATCTTGCATATATTACAAAAATATATAACTACATATTATTATAATTATGTAATTATAATATTACATTACGGAAAAGTGAATTATACTGTAGAAACGAAAATTTCATGAGCTATAGTATTTTCAACTGGACCTCAAAATACCCTCTAATTTTTCTAATTGTAGGCGTGACTATTTTTATTTTTAAACATATCGAATATCAGGATTCAGATAGACCGGTAGTTATACAAGCTGATCGATGACGCGCGGAAGCAAGGATAGCGTCGAGACGATCACTACTGCGCATGAAAGCGTAACGTCAGTCCTTCGTCGGACTCCATCCATGTGTCGATCCAGCCGGTCGAAACGGTGGACACCTGCTAACCTCAGCTAACCTCTCTGTCTACCCTCGACCGGACATCCGGACGAACAATCTCCGCCTGGGAACGTTCCATGCTTGCAGCTAGAATGTCCAATTTGCGGAAATTTATAGGTAAACCCGACTGTCCTTCGTTCTTGCTCAGCAACATGTCGTTTCTATCGTTTGTCTCGCGTTACAAAGGTTATAGTAAGAGGCGAGACTGATCTTTTTAACTCAACAAAATCCCTTCCCTTCGTCGATACTTGGCAGATTTTTTCTATCCTCCGGGTTGTCCTTTCTGGGAGATGCTTCCGGATTCCTTCGTGAAGTTCTCAAATGTCTTGAGAAACACATTAAATATTTCGGCATCATATGCACTTCTAAGTGTATCAATAATAATGCTTTGTTGGTATATAAAGTAAAGTCTGTAAAACATTTAACATAAGGTATTTTCAAGATGACTTATGATGAATTCGCTCACTCGCAATACTGGATCAGTGCATATTAAAAGTTGCTTCATATAAAATATCTCAATGCAGTGATACAATATAATCAACTTTGACAATAAAATGATCCATATACATTTTGTTAAATAATGTGACAATATCACATTAGTAGATAGTTAATCATTAAAAATATTTATATACTTTTTTATATTTAACTTTGCTAATTTCATATAAAGCAGCTTTTAGTACTGATCTAGTGCAAGTGACCGAATTCGCTGTTATTCTATTAAGGATAACACAGTCAACTATGTCAGTCAAATATGTGACATTAACATTTAATATTGGCAAATAACAAGGATTTAATGGTACACTGTGTCAACTATATCTCTTGCTGGAAAACATATATATTCAAAACACCTTGTACATTTGCCTTGAGCGATTTTGTATTAAGAGAGCCCAGCGTTTTCCATTGTACTCCAATTGTCATAGATATCGGAGCCAATTTAACGGATTCCATGTACCAAGGGGTCTATCATGGATCTCAGAAGCATCAGCCAGATTTGGATAAAGTTCTAGAGCGAAGTTGGAAGAATAATCTCTCGAAGATCATCATTACAGCTGGCAATATAGAAGAAAGCAAGAAAGCTCTTGAAATTGCAAGAACCGATGGCAAGTATCCTTAAATATGTGAGAAGTTGTATTAATATAAATCTTTCCCATTAATATAAATGTTCCCAAATTAATATAGTTTAATTGTAGATCTCTTGCTAATTTTAATTTTTTACTTACACACTAAATTAATGCATACTAAAAGTTGTTATACATGAAATTAATAAAGTTAATTATTTAACTGTTGATTATATTATGCCACTGCATTTAGATATTTTATGTAAAACAACTTTTAATATGCTATGTACTGCGAACGACTTCATTATTAACTCCATACAGGAACATACATTTTTTTTGTGATGCTAAAGGAACATAAGTGTTCTTGAGAGCTTTTTATTAATTTTCGAAATTAAAAATTTTTCAATTATATAAAAAAATGCAATACTCAAATTTGGCATAAATGTAGACTTATAACACTATTTGAAAATTAGGAAAATGTCCCAGGGTCATAAGACCCATATGTTCAAGTTATGAGTTAAGTTCATTTTTGAAGACGAATGACTGATCATCATCAATCAATAAATTGCAGATAGACTGTATTCGACGGTCGGTTGTCATCCGACCCGTTGCAATGAATTCGAGGAGAGTGGCAATCCAGAAGAATACCTCGAATCATTGTCGGACCTGGCGTTGAATAACAAGGACAAAGTTGTCGCTATCGGTGAGATGGGTTTGGACTATGATAGGCTGAATTTCTGTCCCAAGGAGACTCAAAAGAAGTATTTTGAGCTACAATTGTCATTGTGCTCCACGTTAAAACTACCAATGTTTCTGCACTGCCGCAACGCTAGTGATGATTTTGTGCGAATTCTGAGGAAGCATAAAAACCAATTGACGCCGGGCGTTGTGCACTCCTTCGACGGTAACCCGGAGGATGCAAATTCCATACTACAATTAGGCTTGTACATCGGTGTCAATGGATGGTAAGATTGATGGTGACTTCCGTCATTACACTGGATTAGCACACATTATATGCTGCTTTATATAAAGTGTTCAAATGCAATGACATAATATAATTAACTTTAAATGGAATACATTTGAGATGAAATGAAATTAAATATGATTTGTTAAATAACGTGATAATATCATTATTAGACATTCATATATATTTTCATCAATTTTAATTAATTTTGCTTCAACTTCCTATTCATCTTTTTCCAGTTCTAAAAATTAGACAAAGATGAAAAGTAAATTGTACCGAGATTAAAGTTAATTTACATTGGAATGGGAAATTAAAAAATATTTATAGTTTTTACATTTAATTTTGCTAATCTCATGTATAGCAGTTTTTAATATGTACTAATTTAGTAATGGAAGTGACTGAATTCATTATGAATATGCGATTCTCGCAAGAGTTAAAAGAAAAAAGGAGGACAATCCAATAATCTCATTTTGTTTCGCGTTTCAGCTCGTTGAAGACAGAGGAAAATCTTTTCGCAATCACTACCATTCCCTCGGACAGGCTCATGATAGAGACTGATTGTCCATGGTGCGAGATCAGGCCGACGCATGCATCCGCGAACGACGTTATCACGCACTTTCCATCTGTGAAGAAAGAAAAGTGGCAAGCGGATCAGATGGTTAAAGGACGGAACGAACCTTGCACGATAGTGTTAGTACACTTTTCTTCCTGCAGATCGCAAAATGAGAATTACATACGATATTTGTTTAAAATTAAGCATTAAATTTCTTTTGCAATATTTTCATATCCACCGGAGCTGACACCAAAATCTGTAATACAGTTACTTACACACTGAGTTTGTAAGATTCATTTAATTTATATTAAAAGGCGCTAATTTCAAGAAACAAAGTGACAAAAAATGAAAACTAAGTATATTTTAATAGGAATAATCGAAACTTGCAGATGTAATATAAAGAAAATTGAATTGTTCGACATTTTTGATAGATTTTGAGTGGATTTAATAAACCCACTGTCAGCTCTGAAGGGATATAATTGACTGAATCGAATAGAGGATTAAACGGTGTGTATGATATGATCTTAATTACTTGCAGTCAAATATTAGAAGTCCTAGCGCGGATCAGAGATGAGGAAGAGGAATACCTGTGCAATCAAATCTACAAGAATACAATGAAGCTCTTCTTCCCGTATGAATTATAGTATGCAAGTACTCGATGCTACAAAAATACAAGCGAACTTAAAGTGCGTTGACGGAATACGCATTCTCATGGAAGTTATCAGGGATAAAAGCTGTGAACGTGCACACAGAACAGAGTGAAAAAATTTAAAAAAAAGGCACGCTGCTGAAACTTTATTGAAGGGGGGAAATAAGACAACTCATTTTTACATACGTGGCTTTATGGAAGTGGCTGTCACTATCCACACACAGATCTCTCTTCCCATGTAAAACTTTAATATATTCTTGTTAAAATTATATTATCATATCTCATATTCATCTATTGCATTTCATCGCTATTATTACCATCATTTCATTATTATTATATTATATTATATTACGATATTTATTAATACTATTCTGCTATTCCTAAAAATATCACCGTTGTTGTTGTTATTACTCTGACCCATTTTTCCGGCATGATTTTTTCCTTAAAATCTTTTTTTATTTGTAGTAGAGTCCTTCCTTTACTACACCTACAAGAACTTTACGAAAAAATTTGTATTCGATTATTTAATGTAATCGAATGTATATATTCAATCAAAATCCTCAAAATTATAAATGAAAATACAAAATACTAAAGATCGCACTTTCGAACGATTTGCGTACAAAGGTCTAATGTTTGGATATACATATATATTATTAGTTATCAATAATAATTTTAAAGAAAATGACAGAAAAATATTTGTCTTAATAAAAAACGCTCGCAATTGTTTCAGTTTATTAGAAGATCGCGAAATTTTCTTCGTCAGGACCAACCAAAGCAAGATATAGATTTTCTATTCGAGATATCACAGGTAAAATGGCTGACGCATTCGTGATCTTCGGAAAATATATATGTAACGCTTCCGTGTCATAAATAATAAATGCGGAGAGTCGCGTGAAGAGGCGGAAATTTCGCCGTCAACGCAATAATTATTCATACAGTAAACCATTGGATTTTATTCATGGCACTTTGGAGAGAGTCTGCACTTTCTCGTACACCCAATCGTACGTTTGAGCAGCGTACGATTGCGTCGTGTCGAAAGCCCAAATGGCGTAATTGCGCAGATTATCCGGGCTAAGCTTGCCTCTGAAAAAAAAGGGAAGGAAGGTCACGGTCGGATACTCGATTACAGCCTCTGCATAATGTATGAGCACCCTTACACAAAGACATTCTTCTCCAGCCACTGTATCGACGCGCTGGAATGTTCAATAACTTTCTCTCCAATTAGAATGAAGGAAACTTTCACAAATTCCAGTCCCTGAAGACTTCGGGATTTAATTTGCTCCAAAATCCCTGGAGCGTAATGCTCGATCTGTATAAAAGAAAAAAGAATTGTTAAAAGATGTATTTTATGCGAAAGGTTGTTCTCTCCATGAAAATATTTTTAAGATCTTCATTATACTTACTGTGTCAATAATTATAGGTACGTTCCTTTCAACATATGCCGCGACATTGTTATACAATTTAATTGAAACATTTCTTACTACAAGACAGACATCGCCAGCTAATTTAATGTACGGTGCACACAAGTCTACAACGGCTTTATAATATTCCGGTGAACTATCCTTAACTGCTTTGTGTCCTGCAGACCAATAGAACTTTAGAGTAGTCCATGCCTTTTCTACATGTTTCAATATTCCGCTAGTTTTCAAGAATTTTCCAACTTGGGATGCTACAATACATAAAATGCCAATATACAATAAAGTAAAAAAAAACTCAATTTATATCACCAATTTGTTAGGAGAGAGATTAGAGAGGCGAAGATATTAATAGGCGTGATGTTTATGACAGCAATGAATACGTTGTCGGCGAACCACTAGCTGACAAGTTATGTTATTAAACATAAAGCACAATGGTAAGATAATGACTCCCTGAACAATAACCTTATAGCAAATTTGCTCATTTGCACTGCACTAGAGTGTGCATATTAAAAAGATGCTAATTAAAATTAATAATAAAGCTACATGTGAAATTGACAAAGTTAAATGTAAAAGCATAGAAATATTTTAAATTATTAATAATGATATTGTCATTTTATTTAACAGAATGTATTTCATTTTCAAAGTTGATTATATTATGCCATTGCATTTTATTTTATTTTATATAAAGCAGTTTTTAATGTGTATTAATCCAATATAGTGCGAGTGACCAAATTCACCATTGTATTATGACGAAATATTTAGACAATAATTATAACTCTCTTTTAGTCCACACAACAGATTCGTGTTTTGGGTTAATTTTGATCACTGGCTATGATCAACAGAAAAAGCAACTTTGCAACTGTTGTAAAATTCTTTAATATATTTGGTCTTGCCCTTAGCTTTTCACATTGTTAAATTTATAATATCAAATATACCTGATTTGAATTATTTTTAATCATTTCTACAAGTTGCTACCGCTTTTATTTAATATGTCGTTATTTTAATCAAAACAATAGAGTTAAACAATTTAACTAAAGAAAATGTATTAAGTTTAATTCGAATTTAGTTTATTATTTATTGAGTGCATACATTAATATTAACTACAGTTGTCTATTTTGAAATTAAGCAATTCACTCACAGTAAGGGATTGATTTATATTTTGATACATATGGAAGTTGAAAATAACAAAATATTATTTAACTCAAGGGATGGATATTATCTCGTTATTTTTTTTATAATTGATAAATGTATAAATCAATATCACATTAAAGAATCTCATAACAGTTGCTATTTTTTTTTTTAATAGCCACTTTATAAGTGTACAAAAATTACCAAGTGACTCTTATATACTTTAACATCTTTAAAAGGTATTTGTAAAAATATTTGTGCATTGAATAAATTGTATACAAATGTAACTAATTATTTGGCGCTCCAATATAAAAAAAAATGCATAGGATCGAAATGACTAAGGATTAAAATATAATACATAAATTTAAAAGAATTTAAGAGAACATAAAATGATTAGAATGACAAGCGGAGATGAGATGAGAAGCAAACAGATGATTAGTACCTATTGTTGTTTCCAGAAAGTACTTACCTTCAAACGAGCCATGTTTCTGTGTGTCGTACGCTACGATAGCACTGATCAAAAGCAATAAAAGGACACTAGCAGATCTCCATGGAAAACTACGGCTGGAAGAGGTCATTTTCTTCAGTAGTACCTGAAAGAACATAAACGACGTAAGACACACTTTCTCAGCAATGATTTTTACTTCACCGCTTCTCCCAGACTTTGGAAAAAAAAAAAGCAATCATTCAAGCGTCACGTAAATCTCGCGTGTCAATCGAACTACATTTCACGCAGCTACATTTCGGATTCTCTCTGTCACGCGAATTCTAACATGATATCAATAAAGACTTCTGTCACATAACAACGAATCGATCACGATTCCGGAACATGTCCGCGTTAATGCGCAGATGAGAGACCGGGAGTATCTCACACACATACACACACACACACACACACACCTTATCTTAAGGACTTTGAAATCACGTTCGAGAGTAATTAACGACGATACGTATCTACAGCGACTTCCGATTGCTACGTAAACGTCACGAAGGCAAATCGCCTCGTCACCGCTGGAGGCGCCGAAGAATATTTTCCCGCGACTCGATCTCTCGCGCGAGATCACCTTCGTCGACGAATCATATAAACAATTAAACACACGCGTACACGACAGGACCAACGGTCCGGAATTTTTCGCCTCTTACCTGCGGAGAGTCGGGAAGACGCGTTCACTCGCGTTTGTTCGTCGCGCGATCCGTGCTTCGAGAGGGGCGAAAAAAAAGAAGAAAACCGGGCGAGGAGCCGCGCGTGCCGTGCGAGCGGCGTCAATGTTGAATCGTCGAATGTCGTCACTCGCGTCGCGAGGGGGGCAACCGGGCAGCGATCAATAAGTCGCATAGGTACGTTCCCGAAAACGCTGTCTGGCTACCTCAAAGCGCGATCTCACGCTGACGTTGGACGCTCATTTTTAAGGGCCACACAAAATACTTAATAATAGGCAAATTAACATTTTGGGATTTATTGAGACTTACGTATCTTATGGTCTTTAATGTCATTGGCCTGTTTACTTCATGTTTACGTTTTACTGCTTGTTTTTTTTTGTGTGTCAATCTGTTAAAAACCCTATAAGCGCATAATATTATTTAATATTAAATAATATTTTAGGCATATTCTCAGAATATTAAATATAACATTTTAATATTTTACTAAAATTATATAATATTAAATAATATTCCTGAAATAT